AGGTTCTTGTATTTACTGCATACTGATATTTTCTATGCATTTCAGATATTTTAGATTGTAACAGATATAGTCCCTTGCTACTAATAAATTGAATAAAACCCAAAGCAGGTAACATTGACTTGTTTAGCACATGGCTTCTAAAACACTAGTACTAAAAAATATTACTTATTTATTTAGGAATAAAAATATAAATATAAAAAATATAAAACACAACTCTCTTTCAAAGAATCTTGCTTTTATGTAATTTTGTAGGTGTAAAAGCTAAAGCATTTATAATATTTATTTTTCAAAATTGTATATCTATTGGCTCCTATCTTTCTCTAGCTAGCTGTTCTTGAAAAATTTCAAACGATTTTCCTTGCTCACTTATAATAGGGGATGAATGTAACAAAACAGGAATTTTATCAATAAAATGAGAAAGTGAGATATAAATAGAAGAGAGGCAGACGCTGAAGTGTATTTCTAATTACAAAGGGCTTAATTAGAAGATAGGTTTATTATAGCTTTAACTACTGAACAGATGTTCAATATATCTGTTATATGAGGCTAATAAGTATCAGAAATTAGGGCAAATTTAAGGCAATTGTTGCTTTCCAGCTATTACTATCACTTTCAGAATTTCAGACAATGGCCGACATGCTGACTGGGGTTTAGAAGTGTTGTAGCTTATTAGAAATTGAGGTCCCCATCCGCGAAAATCATCTTAATAGTTTCACCTGGGCATTTTTTTTGTTAGCCGGAGCTAGCATTAGCATTGCAATCCGTCCTTATTAATCGACTTACATTCCAACCCTGAATCAGGAACTGTCGGGGGAAAAAATGAGCACTCGGCGAATATCTCTCCTGCCCCACTTTCCTTCTTTTATTTTGCCCGCAAGGAACGTATTCTCATGCATAAAGGGTAATCGACACTTCGTCGGGGCACCGTCCACTATCCTTTCTTCCTCGATACAGTAACCACCACCCTCCAAGAGAAATCCCAAACAAATCTCTGAGGGCCGATAGAAGGGGGGGGGAGGAAAAATATATATATATATATACTCACATCCTTCCTACTAACGATGAGTTGGTAGAAGTCCTTGCTAGGCGCCGGGGCTTGTCCGCGCGTCTCGAACAAAATATCGTTCAGGAGGGACGCCATTTTAGGACGCCAGCTCCCAGTCGCTCTGGCAACCAGGAAGGGGCGGGCGAATGGAAGGTCACTGGAAGCCCAGCCCCCTCTCTTAAAGGAGACGGCCAGTTCTTAGGGATAGAAGTGGCAGAGGTTTTTATCACCCCCAGGAAGGAAAGAGGGGCCTCGGTATCGCCACCGTTGAGGGGAGGGGAAAGAGCGGACGGGAGCGATGTCGCCGACCCTGAGGGGATAACGCTTGCACGTACCCCGGGGGTGACGACCCCAGCGGAGGGATACCTCTTTTCCAGCCAAGGAACGTCTGAGACGAGCGGAGGGGGACAGGAAGGATAGAACTGCTGCCGATCTTTAAGAGAAAGGAGGGGGGCTGCCGGCTCCGCGGCAGGGAGCGCTGAGGCAGGGAGGAGGAGGACACCCGCTGCTGGCGAGGGGGGGACAGGGGGGCCCCTCGGGCCCCTTTGGGGGCGAAGTAGTCCCCGGCCTCCCCCTACGCCGCTGGAGGGGTACGGTAGCGGAGGCGGACGGCGCACTGATCGGTGCTGCGGCTTCAGCTGATAATTGAAGGGAAGAGGCGCCGGGCAGGACAGAAAAGGAGCCAGGGCTACCGGGGAGGCACGGAGCGCTTTTGCGGAGGCCGCGTCGGGACAAACTAGGTACTGTGCGAAGGAGGGAGGAGTGGGGAGAAGACAACACGGGCGGCGGCGGCGGCGGCGACTTATTTTTCTCGTCTACGCTTTTTGTGTGTGTGTGTGTGGGGGGGGAATGGAAGTCCCTTCTTTTCCTTGCCTGCTTTTTCCTGAGGGCCAAAGTGGGGGATGGGTGGAGGGAAGGAAGGGACTGTTTTGCGGAGCCTGACAGAGGAGGCTTGTGGCGAAGGATATCCTGGGCCGGGGAGGGGGAAGGAAAGAAGGGCAGAGGACTAGTTGGCTGTCTCACGGGTCGAGGCCTTACGCAGGTATGAGGAAGTAATCTGCCAGAAAGAAGGTGCTTTTTAGACCGAGGTGGGGGAAACTCCCAGGGTCAAGGTGTCCCGTCCCCCCCCCCCTCCGCTTCCCTCCCCAAAGCAAAGAAGTGACGAAAAGGAAGCCAGGGTGGCAGAAATGGAGCTGCTAAAATGGCCAAGCGGTAGGGTAAAGCTTATCGTGATTCAGCCCTTCCCTTCCTTTCTTTTCCTGTTTTTCTTCTGCTAGCTCTGATGTTATTTAAAAAGGTGAATTTGAAGTCCCAATTTATAGGCCCCTTTTCCAACAGTACCGAAAACTGACTCGGGCTCCTTTCTGCGGTTTGGGCCTATCCTAACCCCTTTCCTTTTTACTTTGCTCCCCCCCCCCATCCCTCTCCTCCCCCCACAAGTAAAGATTGTCTTTATGGTTTTATGCGGCTGTTTAGATACAAAAGGACAGCTTTAATGTTTATCCTGAATCCGATTTGCATTTCGCTCTGCCTCGTTTCTCCTCAGGTCCTCAGCTAATCACTATCTCCTCCCTTCTCCCCCCCCCCCCCCCTATTTTTTTTTTCTTGGATGCTGTTATTGGGGCCCCTTGAATACACTTAGGAGAAGCAAGGGGGGGGGGGAATCCTTCCCAACCAGACGATTACACTTTTTAAAAAAGAAAAACAAAAGAAAAGCTAAATTATTAGTTGTCTTAATGCTGACCTGGCTTTTGGGCCCAAAAACGGGGGAAATCATATTGTGTAGTTGTGCGTGTGTGTGTGGGGGGGGAGGTAGAGAGGGGGGGAAAAGAAAAGAATGTTCGTTAATAGATTCCCTTAGGTATTGAATCCTAATACTAGAGCAGATTGTTTTCACCCTGTAATTTTAGAGCTGGTTTGTGTTACTGGCATATTCGAGAAGAAACTAGCCTAGCTTGTGGTTTGTTTGCATAACGCGTCATATTTAGATATTCACATTCCCCCCCCCCCTTTCCTTCCCGCACGACAACTTGAGCTTCTGCCGACTAGTACCGGGTTAACATTCAAACTGATCTCGAGGCGTTTGCCAGCCTTCCAGGCCGAGCTGCCTGCTTGTACAACTTTTATTGTTCCTTTCTCCTAATGGGCAGTCCTGTCGCGGTGGAGGTGCGGGGGGGGTGGGTGATGTTCTTCCTAGTGGGCTTAAAAGACATCGGGAATTTGAAAAAGTTTACATTAGGAACAAGAAAACATTAAGGCGGAGAGAGTGGAAAGTTTTGTTCAAAAGGTTTTAGAAAGAAACATCGATGTATGGAACAAAGGTTCTTTCTTTCTATATTAGAGAGGCCTACATACTAGGCCTGACTATGTCGCATTTACCGAGAAAAGCAATGAGAGCTTGGCATTGGACTACAGTAAATGTGTTGAGTGTCTGGAACGCATTTCAGAAATATTTCTAGAATTCGTTAGACTTAATTTCAGGATTGCTTTGTCAGTGTAGCCTTGATCTAATAATTTAACGGGAAATTCTCCTTTTAAGCTTTTCATTATTAGCCCAGTTAATTAACCTAAGCATTGAATTGATAACAGCTTTAAAGCCACATCTCATTACTCTTTTGGACTTACCTTATTTTAGAAGGGCTTTATTACAAGACTGGGTATTCGATCTGTGAAAGGTTACAAAACAAGATATTTTATTCTTTGTTTTGCCTGATCTTGTATTCCATAAATAAGGAATTATTTTCTTTACCAGTCTTAACCAACTGATGACATGTTTACAGTTTGCCTGCACTTTAGCAGAAATGTTGGAAGGGGGTGAAGTTTTATTGTCCAATAAAAATACATTTCAAAACTTGTGAAATTTTAAGTATCAATTATTAATTTTCATAAATTACATTCAATATATCAATATAAATTTCTATTCAAGTTTATTAATAACTTGGATAGTATTAGAATTATTTTGTACACATTCAGATCATTGGTTAACAATCTTCCACTTATATAATAATGTTAAATTGATGTCATTCTTAGTAAACACTGATTAGGGCTGGCATTTTATGTATTTGAGAATATGCTGTATTACAATTGAAGTTTCTGATTAGGTTTAGGCTGTAACCACCTGCTCTTAAATGTTTTAAAATAAACACACTTGCATCAAATAGTTTAGAGAAAAACATTAGAATCTTTAAAAAGATAAAAGGGAGTGTGTGTGTTTGAGGTATTAAAAGGTGGTCTTTGTTCTAACCACTTAGTATACAGTAGGCTTATACTAACAGGTGCTATTTTTCTAATTATGTTTGAAAATTTCCTGTACTTTTGGGGGGAGTGGAAGATGTCCCATGCTGACATTCTTTTCCTCTATTTTGTTGTTAGATAAACAGATTGGATAGATGCTATACTGAGTAAGAATAGTACCTACCCAGAAGCCTATACCTCTGTTGACTGGCTAGTTCTTCCCAAGTACAGGAAATGCATTCACTAATCAAATAAGAAATATAAAGGAAAATGTATGATATCAGCAAAGCACTGGGAATGCTGATATGGTTGAAAAGCTGAAGATAAGAAAGGTGAAGCCTAATAAAACAGTGTAGATGCAGGATAGTTGAAAAATATAAAGAATTAGTAACATTTTATTACACTTATATTGAATTATATGTGTATTCCTAGTATCAAATGAGTTTAGTATAGTAGATTCTGAAGCTGAATGTATGGAAATATTTTGGAGGCTTTGTTATCCTGCTTTATGGATATGATGCTGGCACCTAGGAACTGAAAACATCAGATTGTATCAGGGGAAAAGAAGACAGTGTAAACAGGTTACCTATATGCATCTGTAATTTCTCTTTTTCTTTATACTTGAAGTAATAGAATACTCTGAAATAAATAACTTCTACTAATGCCCTTACATTCAAAAATATAAATGAAATAGACATTCTAATCAAATCCTGCAGTTTCTTCGGTTAACTGAAGCTATTTAGCATAGCATTCAATTGATTTGAAAATGTCTGACTAAAGGAATTATTAAAATGGAGATGCTGAAAATTTTTAATGAATAATGTAAAGTTATGGGCACTTGGGCTCTAACAGTAAGAACATCCTACATAATAGAAAAAGTTATTAATAGCATCCTGAGATTGTATTTTCCTGCATTACAATATTTTCAACTATATTCAAAGTTTTACCTATATTGTGCGCAATGTACTTTCCTGGTCAGGTAAACTTGTCATTTCTGCTTCCTTTGATATTTTGATATAATAATTATGTGAGTGAAATGGTTGATATTAGGTAATATTAGACGCTTTGAGCTGTCCTTTCCAAACTATTGCTGCCAGGAATTTTTATTTCTTTTATTCCTGTTTTTGCAGTAAAAACAACAACTCCCAAAATAGTTGTTTAGTAGATATGTCTAAGCTGCTTTTTCTTGAGCTGGTGGCTTTTATATGTGTTGTGACTATAGTTCCTAGAATCAGCATAGAAATTGTTGGTTAGAAATTCTGAGGCTGCTGTCCCAACACATCTGAAATATGTGAGATTGGAGAAAGTTAGCCTAAGCCAATTTAGACTTAATTTAAAACTTCAATATTGTTAATATAATGCAGATAGCCATATATTTAAACACATCATATTAGTACTTCTTAATCTCTTAATCTCTTAATATTACATTTTACAAACTCAAAGAATCTGGGTCTCCTCAGGCTCATGTTTCCCAAGTAATTTTATTTATGTATGTGCGCATACATAAAATTTGAAATTGTGTTGCTAAAATAATTTTTATTGCCACAACAGTAAGTTTGAGTGAGAATTAATAGAACAGTATCTCAAAAACACCAAGAGTAAAATATCTAGCTATTTTTTTCTGATTTCAGAAAATGAAACTGCATTAGATCAGGTTAATATATTGTTGGGAGGCCACCAGGAACTAGAGCCTGAGAAGTTAAAAAAAAAACCATCCCAGAAGAGGGCAATTACAAACAACTTCCATATTGTTTCCAAGAAAATTACACATGATTTGTTCATGGATTATCAGAAATTCAGTTCTATTCAAATTAAAATTTCTAACTAAAGTAAAACTTTTTATTTTATTTTGCCTTTTAAGGACAACATTTTCATAGGCTGTTTCAGTCCTAGGCTCTAGAAATACTGTTTGATATGCTGGGCTCCTATTCTTTTAGCATCCTTGAACAGCCACTTTGTTTTCCTCTCGTTTAATTTTTTGGAGAGGGGACTCTCGTTCAATTTTTTGGAGAGGGGACTCTCGTTCAGTTTTTTGGAGAGGGGACTCGTATATAAGTGTATTACTGATGAGCTGTTGAAGTCTATGACTAGGTAAAAAACTTTGGCATAAATTATAAATGATTCAATGAACTAATTCTACTTTCTTGTAGAGTAAATTAACAGTCTTACAAATATCAAGGTACAAATTTCTGACTATCACTTTTAAGTGTTAGATCACTTGAGACAGGTCCTTCCTAAGTTTCTTTCTCTGAGGCACTGAAGGTTCTTTCCTCTCTTGTCTGATTGTTTCCTAGGCAGCATCTCCTCCCCTAGTTTTCCAAGGTCATCCACATTGCTTCTATACTTTGTCTACACTTTTGCAGTGACTTCACATTGGTTGAATGTCAATACTTAGTGCATGTGATGACATAGGTATGATTTAACATTTCATCAGAAATGATGCTTGGTGTTCTATTTTAATATAGAAAATTTAGAATTGTGGCCAATGGGTATACATGTGGTTCTC